AGCAGGAAGACAGCAGGTCCTCTCATCGCCACCGTGAGCCAGGCCCGTCCCATGCCACTCGGACAGTCCGGCACCAGGGAACAGAACGGGGCTGGTGAGTTCCAGCTGGGAAGTGAATGCTTGCTAAATGGGTGTGTGTGTGAGTGTGTGCGCACCTGTCATGGCTCCAATGCCCTCCCTGGCCGGCTCCTGCCTGACCCTGCAGGCTCTCCCAGTTCTCACCTCCAGCGCCTATGAGCTGCTCCATTCTTGGTGATTTTTCCCCTCCAAGTATAACAGAAGGGGACTTCAAAAAGTTCACGGGAAATAGAAGAAAGGACGACTTTATTTTGGTGCCAAAAGAAAGCATGAAATCCATGTATGGTTTTTCATAATACGCATTTCCACAAGCTTTCGGGCGACCCATATTGTCATGCTTTGGTTTGTCCACCTGCTCATGGCTAGGTTTCTTCAGATTAGCTGAGGGGACAGCTTGCTTGTTGTTGTGTCCTGTGCTGCACAAAGAGCTGTCGAATGAGCGGGCAGCATGGCCCAGCTGTGGTGTTGTGTGTGAGTCATGGGCTGCACGGCCTAGCCGTGGTGTTGTGTGTGAGTCATGGGCAGCCCGGCCCAGCTGTGGTGTTGTGTGAGTCATGAGCAGCACGGCCCAGCTGTGGTGTTGTGTGTATGAGTCATGGGCAGCCCGGCCCAGCTGTGGTGTTGTGTATGAGTCATGGGCAGCACGGCCTAGCTGTGGTGTTGTGTGTGAGTCATGGGCAGCACGGCCTAGCTGTGGTGTTGTGTGTGAGTCATGGGCAGCACGGCCTAGCTGTGGTGTTGTACATGAATAAATAGGTAGATCTTCGTGTTGGGACTATGTAAATGTTGCACATCCTCACAAAATCAAATTAAATCAAAGCACCATGCAGTCTCTAAAACCAAAACTCTCATGGACAGATGAACCTAACTGTGTGTCAAGATGGTGATTCAATAACCCAAGGAATTATCTCAAATGACTTGAAAAGAATAGAATGAGCTGTGGTATGCCTCATAAGGACATAGGGAACTGCGAGGAAATCTTCGATGGTTCTCAACCGTCATATTATGGGTAATAAAATTGGCATTAGTATTTGAAACTATAAAATATGTATGCCATAATGTATGGATAAAGCAAATAAAATTTATTTATCATCATTAAGAGCTAAGATTTTTTAGCATAAAAGATATAAAAGTAAAACTTCAGGAAAATCCCTTAATCCTACATTTGAGTTAGTAATATCAGTATAAGCTCATAGTATTTTCCATTTTAAAAAGTTGTTTTTCCAGTTTTTTATTTTTTTTTTTCAAGAGCGAGATTTTTCCTAGTGCACTAGGTAAAGAAAGAGACAGGCAGACAGAAAGTGAAAACTCTTCCCCAGGAGGGACGGCCACACCGTAGTCCCTTCTCCACTCACCTCTTGGGAGTTTGGGCACACACACACACACACACACACACACACACACACACACAAGCCTGGTGTGAGTTTTAAGTCACTGGGTCGAAGACTCAAACTGCAGTCGGCCATGTGTGAGTCCAGCACTATAACCGTTACACCATCTGCTGGTCCCCCAGCTCTGTCTAAACTCAGTGACCAGCTCAGAGCAGTGCATAGAATTAGCACCTCGTGGTAGTTTCTAAGTCTGTTCTCCATTAGAAACAACCGGCACTCTTTGGGGAAGTGGCTGACTGCGGGTCTGGGCCGGGTTATACCCCAGATGAACATGGACCATCTTGTCTGTCCAACATGGAGTCTGCCAGAGACAACGGCAAACAAGCTCAGGAGCCAACCTGAACACACTCCCGAAGATGGGAAGATTAGAGTATAAATAAGAATAATACCAGCAATGGATGGCAACGCCGTAAATAAATTTAAATTCATGAGTTTGAAGTGATTCTTAAATAAACTTGATCATCTTTGGAGCTTGCTAGAGAATTATTCTGTTGTCTGATTAAAAAACAAAAAAAGTACAAGTATTATCCAGCCTTCCTGCATGAACTGTATTTCAGGGTAAACAAATATTCGATGATGGGAATGTTCTTCACTAAAGAACTCCAGCAAATGCAGGAAAAAAATGCTAGAATTAAAACATCATCATTTCCAACCCCTAATGAAATAATAATTCTCTTCAGTGGTCACCAGTTACTGCTATAAGCCACTCAAGGTAAAACTGAGTCAGCCTCGGCCTCATGAGCAGAGACAGACAGACGTTCTGAGCCTCCTGACCTAGTGCAGGAGGAAATACCCACCACCCATGACGTGTGTCACCAAAGGTGGAGCTTGGTTACAGGAACCCCAGGGGACATTACATGAGATTGCCCTGGTGCCGGTGGCAAAATCCAGGAAGCAGGAAATTCCACGGGACAAACGAACTACAGGATTCGAAGAGTCTTAGAGCTCTGCTAACTGAATGTCAGGCGTGAGCTTTATTTGGTTCTCGATTCAAACAAATCAATTGTAATTGAACACGCACACACACACACCAGGTGCATGTGTGTGCCTGCATGAAATCCCAAGAGAATGGAGGAGAAGGGATTGTGGTGTGGCCATCCCCCCAGGGGGTGATTTCTCACTTTCTCTCTCTCTTTCTCTGTCTCTGGTGAGCACACATGCCCTATGGCAAAAACTAAAAAAAAAAAAAAAAAAAAAAAAAAAGAGAAAACACTCTGAAAGAAGATTTTTAAGTAGTGATTGGATATTTGATGATAGTAAGAAATTAATTGCTTAAAATTCCAGGTAGGTTAAGATGAATATGATCTTTTTGCTTTCAAAATAAATGTTTTTAGAAGTGTTTTTTAATTTTATACAGCTCTTTCCTTCCCTCCTAGGGGTGAGATGACCAGGCATAAGAGCAGCAGGAGACTGTCTCCACCCTCAGGGTCCCGGAGCAGCATGGGGTCTCCCGTGGGCAGAGCTCCGTCCCCAGGGGCACCTGCCATTGCCCGGGGGAATAATGTGCTCGTTTGGCTTCCTAGTGATCTCCTGCGGGAACCCCGGGACACCGAGCAATGCCCGCGTCTTGTTCAGTGACGGCCTGGTGTTCTCCAGCTCCATCGTCTACGAGTGCCGGGAAGGCCACTACGCCACAGGCCTGCTCAGCCGGCACTGCTCCGTCAACGGCACCTGGACAGGCAGTGACCCCGAGTGCACAGGTGAGAGCACAGGCCGCTGGGCTTCGTGGCACATGGTGGCCCTGGCGGAAGAAGAAGGCTGTCTGTGGGGGACTGGGAAGGCCGCTGGATTGGTGAGCCTTGACCTTGAGCGAGGGTCCCACGGACGGCTCTGTTTACCGCACATGTACTGGGTGACAGCCGTGGGGCTCCGTGCCGGGGCACATGCCATTTGAGTCTCACCCCCACTCCCCAAGTAGCCACTCCTAGCCACATCTTATATACGAGAGTATATGTTGGCCACTTCTCGGGCTTTCCCGTTCTCGCTGAGAGCAGAGCCCCGGGACGGTCTGATTCCCGCTCTCCACTCCACTGCGGCCGCCGTCCAGCCTCTTGGTTATTTCCCCTCTTCTTTGGATCTGTCCCCACCCTCGCCTGTTTGAGCATGGCATTGCCTCACTGCCCCCTCTCTGGCTCCTCTCCAGGGGAGTCCCAGGCCCTTTTCCTTGGAAAGTTAGTCACTATGGGACCAGATGGAGGGAAGAGAAGGCATAAAGGAATCTAAGCGCATTCTTCCTTCCAAGTCACAGTCCGTGGTAGCACCCGTGAAAAGCCCTTTGCCAAGTTCGTTCTTGCTCTGAAGCCAGAGCTCACTAACCATCCCGGTTCCATAACAGAGGTCAGACTGTCACGTGGGTCATGAGACCCTTCTCGAGTGATCAGCCTGCAGAGAAGGCTGTGTAGGCAGGACAGGGTGTAAGATGCGCCTCTCGGCAGACCAACAGTCTCCTGTGGCCCATTAAGGCACGATAGGTTGTTCCATCTGGAAACCCTCTCCCCCGGGGGCCCCAGCCTCAGTGAGGAGCAGCCTGCTCTGGGCACGCCCTCTCAGAGCATGGCGTTCATAGCCCAGCTGCCGGGGTGTGTAAGGACGGCGTGGGCGAGGAGATTTGACTGCACACACCTCGGGATGGTCAGTGCACCTGGGAGCCTGTGACGAGACAGGGTGTCCCTTCTTGGAGGCGTGCAGGGAGAGACGGGGTGGTCCGGGATGCCGAGGAGAAAGGGGGTCTGGCTGGGAGCCAGCTAGGCTGCATCTCTCGTCCTAGTCATAAACTGCGGCGACCCTGGGGTTCCCGCCAACGGCCTCCGGTTGGGTGACGACTTCAGGTACAACAAAACCGTGACGTACCAGTGTGTCCCTGGCCACACGATGGAGTCACACAAGGGGTCTGTGCTGAGCTGCACCAAGGACCGGACGTGGAACGGCACCAAGCCTGTCTGCAAAGGTGCGTCCGAGGGCTGTGGAGTGCGCAGAGGGCCGAGGGAGACCCGCAGGGACACGTGGGCCTTGAACGTCTAGGAAGCGGCAGGGTGTTGGGAAGTGTACAGGGTGAGGCTGTTCCTGAGCAGGAGCCAGGAGGGAAGTCACCAGGGCGAGCCCGGCCCTTGAACATGGAGGGCTGGGCCGTCCCTCCTGAGAGAGGCCCTTGTGAGATGCAGCAAGGTCGGCACTCCCGCAGTAAGGGGGGTCCTTCCGGGTTCTCCCAGCAGGTGCGGCCAGCCGTAGCATCAGTGGGGCGCCTGGGGCTGGCCTCCCGGCAGAACAGCGCTCACTGCCCTGTCTCCCCAGCTATCATGTGCAGGCCGCCTCCGCTCATCCCCAACGGGAAGGTGGTGGGCTCCGACTTCACGTGGGGCTCGAGCGTGACTTACGCCTGCCTGGAGGGCTACCGGCTGTCCCTGCCCGCGATGCTCACCTGCGAGGGAAACGGATCCTGGACCGGAGAGCTGCCCCAGTGTTTCCGTAAGTCGCTCCCGAGGCCTTTGGTCACATCCTCTGCAGTGACACCTCCCTGCCCTCCCTGCTACCAGGCCAAGGGTTGGCGGACTCCGCCCCAAGCCAGGGAGTACCTGGTCAAAGACCTGACTGGAGAGGAAAGGCAGAGCAAAGACGGAACGCAGAATATCTTACCAGAGCCGGCCACCAACACTGGCGTCTCAGCAGAAGAAAATTAAGCCAGAGTTAGGCGTGGGGTTTCTTGACCTGAGGCATTAACTGGGTGGGACGGTAGCCAGGACATGAGGGCAGCCATGCTGGAAACTCGCCTGTCTGCAGAAAATGCCCGGCGTGGAGGAGATTGCTGGGCCCCAAGTTTCTGGTGACAGACTTCACTACCTACCCACCTGGCCCCGTGGTGTCCTGAGGTCCATTCCAGGATGTGCTCCTCACTGAGCATCCGGAGCAGGCAGGTCACGTGCTCTTGTCACACCCATCAGCCGGTTCAGGATGGTTTCTGTTTGCCCATGCCTTGTCAAACGGTGGGGCCCGTTTTTCTTTCTACATGGCATTATCTACTAATAATTCTGCAGAAAATATCCTGGTTCTCATCATATTGTTTGGGTGACTGTGGAAATTTGCTTCAGTTTGGGAGTCTGAGCAGAGCCTCGGTCACAGCCCAGCAGCGGACACCGGGCCAGCGGCTTCTAGAGCAGCGTTAAGCTCGGGTCTTCACATGCCCCAGGAGCACATGAGGCTGGACCCAGTAACCTGCGTTTCCTCTTGAGAAGTACCTGGATTGCTTTTTAATGATGGATTATGGTCACTGAAAAACAAAACAAAACAAAAAACCACTTGTACTACTCCGGAAATGCAAAGGAGAAGAAAACTCATCTGGATTCCCACTTCTCAGAGAGAACCACAGTTAGCTCCTGACTGGATCGTAATCAGCTCAGCGATGGGTTACGGGTCCTGCGCGTTTGCATACACAGCACTGTGTGTAGCGTCGCCTAGCACTGGCACTGGGCCATGCTGGCCGCACTTCTGATGACGCGTGTTCATTGCGAGCACACCAGAGCCTTCACGTTCACACTTTCACTATCAATGCCTACTGGTGCACACGTGGTTTTCAACTTGCCAGAGGGTGCATGGGGGGAGGGCAGGGTGAGAAAGCACCCACGGGGCACGGTTACTTGGCCATCCCTTCTCCTCCATCTCTTCCTCTTTTCAGGATGAAGAAAACTCATCTGGATTCCCACTTCTCAGAGAGAACCACAGTTAGCTCCTGACTGGATCGTAATCAGCTCAGCGATGGGTTACGGGTCCTGCGCGTTTGCATACACAGCACTGTGTGTAGCGTCGCCTAGCACTGGCACTGGGCCATGCTGGCCGCACTTCTGATGACGCGTGTTCATTGCGAGCACACCAGAGCCTTCACGTTCACACTTTCACTATCAATGCCTACTGGTGCACACGTGGTTTTCAACTTGCCAGAGGGTGCATGGGGGGAGGGCAGGGTGAGAAAGCACCCACGGGGCACGGTTACTTGGCCATCCCTTCTCCTCCATCTCTTCCTCTTTTCAGGATGTTGGGCACACATGCACACGTGCCCAGCATGTATCTCACACCCATGGCATCCGGGACTCAAAGCACAGAGTCTGCCGTTGGGATCCAGCCGCTTACCCACCACAGGCTGGCCCACGTCATTTTCTTTTTTTTCCTCGAGATGTTTTGCCTTGCAGCATGTGCACGTCCTGAAAATAGCCTTTCTCTGCTCTTCCTCCTGCGATGCTGGGAGTCAGAATTCTGGGCCAAGAGGCAGAATTCTGCGTCCTTAGCCCATGTGGCCAAACTGTCTTCTCAAGAGAGTGTCCCAGCTGATGTCCTCTCCAGCCATGGTCATGTCTCTTACTCTATGCCCTCCTCAACAGTGTACATTTCTAAACTTTGTAGGTAATGTTTTTAAAGTTGACCCAGTTCTGTGACACAGCAGTAATGCCCTGCTCAAGATAAGCTGAACCTCAGATGGTGGCCACTCGTGTGAGTGCCCAGATGCATGAGCAGAGGATTGGAGGAAGGAGGCCTGGCGTGACCAGCCCTGTGGAGAATGCTCCTCCCCTCTCTCCCTCTCTCTATTTCTGTCACTTTCCTCTCTCGCTTTCATGTGCACATGCACACACTCTGTCATTAATTTTTTTAAGTTTTAAATTAAAAATCACACTTTTAAAAACGTTTATTTATTCACTTCTTCCATGAGAGAAAAGGAGCGAACCACCCCCAGCAGGACCGTCACGCGACAGTCCAGCCAGCCCAGAGCGTGAGCCCAGCTTGTACAGGGAGGCCAAGGGACACAGCCAGGGACCTCTGAAGTGGGTCCAGTTGTGTTACTGCCTCACCACCAGCATCTGGCCCTGCCGCAGTGGCTTTTGCCAATATTTTTAAGTAGTCGCCATCCTAGGGAGTTTTAAATGACCTCTCATTACTGGGCACCACGTTGCTTGTAAGGAAGGCAGGGCTGCTCTTCCCTTGTCGGCCACATTTTCCTCTTGTTTTCTGAGTTTTCTTTTTTTTGGATACAGTAATTTGTGGCCAACTCAGTTTCTTTTTTTTTTTTTTTAATTTTTTTTGCTATAGAACGCGTGCATGCCAGAGAGATGGAAAGAAAATGAGAAATCACCCCCAGGAGGGATGGCCATGCCACCATCCCTTCTCCTCCATTCTCCTCTTGGGACTTGGGCACACATGCACACGCGCCCGGCGTGAGTTTTAAGCTGCCAGGTCCAAGACCTGAGCCACGGTCAACTAAATGGGGATCCAGCAACATAACCATTACACCATCTGCTGGTCCTGGCCAACTTGACTTCTAAGTTCTGATTGCCCTGTCCCAGGGCATAGGCTTAATTAAGGTCCAGTATCCACAAAATTTTACATATGCTTTTGAACCTCACAACTCAATACATACACACACACACACACACACACACACCACAAAGTGAGGCTTGAAGTGAAGTCAAGGGGAGCTTGGCCCTTGTCACTCTTCCATGATACTCTCTGATGTTAACCGAGGACAGAGGGCGTGCTCATGAACCACTTCTCACCACGTGAACGCACAGCCCTTGGGGAGAACGTGGCAGTGCACTCTGAGTCACAAATACTGTTCAAACCTCTGAAGACAGTACTTCTAGGAGATTCTCAGAGGAAACTAATATATGTGGAAGAAACATATGTAACTAGAAAATACTGCATATAAAGGATATGTTAAATGTGACTACGGTGTGAGTACCTGTTGCAACATGGTGTCGCCAGCCATAATGATGCCAAAGACGAGGATGAGGGCCGCAGGGTACCACTGAGAGGACGAGTCTTGAAGCCATGTCCGAGTTAACGTAGAAGCCAGCCAAGGCCCGTCTGCGTACATCAGCATGTAGAGGAAAGGGGCCTGGCAGTGGAGAACGGACCACGGTACTGTGATGGCAGCTTCTCTGTCCCCATCGTGACACGCATCCTGCAAGCCACCCCATTACTAGTGAGCCTCTGTGGAAAGGCAGCGGAAACACGCACAGCAGCACGGAGCAGGTGGAAACACGCACCTGGGGCCACCCAGTTCTCAAAGTTCAAGTGCAGCTGGGAGGGAACCCATGCAGAGGACAAGGCCGGGCCAGGGCGGCAGAGCAGGCTCGCGGAAGCGACTTAGCAGGCCGGACGGGGGCAGTGGGAAGGCAGCACTCTGCAAAGCGGAGTCACCGGGACGGGTTCCCAGCACACACACAGAGACCTCCCTGAGCACCAGGCGTGCCCCTGCCCATGATCATGGCATCATGACTGTCGGGCGCTGTCTCTCCCTCTCCCTCTCTCTTTCTCTCTCAAAAGAGGCAAAGAAAGAAAACTTTAAAACGAAATGTAAAAGCAGGCGACTCAGCCTTGCCTTCGCCCTTTGTCTTGCCAGCGGTGTTCTGCGGAGATCCTGGCGTCCCACCCCGCGGGAGGAGAGAGGACCGAGGCTTCTCCTACAGGTCGTCTGTCTCCTACTCCTGCCATCCGCCTCTGGTGCTGGTGGGCTCTCCACGGAGATTTTGCCAGTCGGATGGGACGTGGAGTGGCACGCAGCCCAGTTGCATAGGTGAGAGGTCTGTAGTGGAGAGGGTCCCAGCCGGCCCGAGATGCGGACTTTGTTCCTTGACTCCGGTGGGTCCCATCTGCAAAGAGGAACAGGCCCTCCTCCTCTCCGCATCGCAGAGGGGATGCGGGGTAGCCAGAGCCTGTGTGCTCCAGGGACCCGGGAGGCAGCCAGGGGTGTGACAGGTGGCCGGCTCAGAAGGCGGGGGGTCAGGACGCGGCTCCCTTTTCTTCCCTACGTCTGCCCCCAGTGAGCTGACACTGTGCACGCATCAGTGACGGCGTGATCTGTTTTCTGTTTTGGCAATCCAGACCCAACTCTGACCACATGCGCAGACCCTGGCGTGCCGCAGTTCGGGATACAGAACAGTTCCCAGGGCTACCAGGTAATGCGGTCAGACAGGACCAGGCCTGTACGCATTCGGCAAATGTTTACAGCCAGGAACTGTTCTCGGTGCTAGGAATGCAGCGGGCACAGGACAGGTTAGGTGCCTGCTCTAGCCGAGCTGCCGGGCTGGTGACAGTAACCAGGCAAGCCAACCAGGTCACCTCCGCGAGCTCTCAGCGCCACACAGTGTGTGGACAGGGATTGCCATTTTAGGAAGGGTGGTTAGGGAAGAGCCCTTCTAAGTCTCCATGATGAAAAGGGCCCGCGCAGTCTGGAGCTGGGTGACATGCCTGGCGGAAGGAGTGGCCAGTGCAAAGGCACTGAGGCAGGGAAGTACATTGCAGGCGGGAGTTCAGAGGGGAGAGCTGCCAGCAGGCACATGGGGGTGCAGTCAGAGAGAGGCTAAGTTCTCTCTTGCTTGCTTGCTTTTTCCTTAATAGATTTTTTTTATAATCTCTTATTTGCATTTAATCGTTGTACATCTTTATGGCATAAATACAGTTTTTCTTACCATTAACAAGAGCTAGGCGGGAACCAGTAGTTAGCGTAATGGCTATGTCGCTGGACTCCCACGTAGTCGACCGTAGTTCACGTCCCGGACCCGGTGGCTTAAAACTCACGCCGGGCACGTGTGCATGCGTGCCCAAGATCCCAAGAGGAGAATGGAGGAGAAGGGATTGCATCATGACCATCCCCTCTGGGGGGTGATTTCTCGCTTTCTGTCTCTATGTCTCTGTCTGTCTGGCGAGCGCACGCACCCTATGGCAAAAATCTCTCAGGAAAAAAAAAAAAACAAGAGCTAGGCTAAGTTCGAAGACACCTTGACACTGGCTTGTAAAGGTAAACATCCCCACACCCTCAGACCAAAAGTCCCACTGCGGGTGGCACATCCCAGAGACACTCATGCACACGTTACCGAGTGATGAAAAATACACGTGGTATCATCACGGGGCAGATTATTAGACGCAGTGAGAATGACTGAACTGCACCTCTACGTGACGAGAATGAATCTCAGAAACATCCATTGAATGACCAAGGTCGTATGACACTATTTTTCCGAAGATTAAAGCCAGTAAAAAAAAAATGTATTAAATTGTTTGGAGACATATTTGTACACATGTTACAGAACTTTTTTTTTTTTTTGAGAGGTTTTCGCTATAGGGTGCGTGCTCTCACAAGACAGACAAAGAGAGGCAGAGAGACAGAAAGCGAGAAATCACCCCCCAGGGGGGATGGTCACGCCACAATTCCTTCTCCTCCATTCTCCTCTTGGGATCTTGGGCACGCACATGCACTCTGCATGAGTTTAAGCCACTGGGTCCGGGACACGAACCACGGTTGACTACATGGGAGTCCAGCGACATAGTCATTACACCAACTGCTGTTCCCGCAGAATTGTTTTTTAACAGGACAAAGAAATTTAAAACATTAAATTACCACTGAGAAGAGCTGAGAAATAGAGTAGGGAAGGGGCACCCAGACCCAGGTGGTTACAAATGTATCCAGAATGTTCTAGCTATTGGGTTCCATGGTAGCCCTATTTAAGACGTCTGTTTTATTATTAAGTACACTTTTTTTTGAGAGAGAGAGATTTTTGCTATAGGGCACATGCGCTCGCCAAAAAGACAGAGAGAGACAGAGAGACAGAAAGTGAGAAATCACCCCCCAGGGGGGATGGTCACGCCACAATTCCTTCTCCTCCATTCTCCTCTTGGGATTTTGGGTATACACACAAATGCACCTGGCGTGAGTTTAAGCCACCAGGTCTGGGACTCGAACCGTGGTCGACTACACGGGAGTCCAGCAACATAGCCTTTATGCTAACTGCTGGTCCCTATTAAGTACACTTTTTACTTGTATTTGGTCTGTATATTCTTTTGTAGACATCAAAATTTTAGATTAGGTTCAACATCCCTAATCTGAAAATCTGAACTCTGAAATGCTCCAAAATCTAAAACTTTTAGAGCACCACCACGATGCCACAAGTGAAAAATTCCACACCTGACCTCACGTGATTGGTATAGTCAAAATGCTGCAGTACAGAAATATGGTGTAAAATTACCTTCAGGCTACATGGACAAGGTATCTATGAAACATAAATAAATTCTGTATTTAGTCTTGGGTTCTTTCCCCAAGAGATCTCATTATGTAGATGCAAATATTCTGAAATTCAAAAAATCCAAAATCGAAACACTTCCACTCTCAAACATTTCAGAATAGGGATACTCAACCGGTAATAATTTTTGCAAAGAAAAAGTCATAGGCCAGATCATACAGGACCTCAAGGCCATAAGTATTTGGGATTTGATTCTAACAGTCATTTGTAGGTGACTCAATCAGATTCATCGTTTGAAAAGTTACTCAGGCTGCTCAGTAGAGAGTGAATAGCAGGGGCGTATGAATAGACGCCCTTCGCCAGGTGAAACGTGACTGTGGAGTGGAGCTCGGGATACAGTTTGTGGGTAAAACCAGGACTTGTGAGTGGTTGGATGGAAGGAGTCAAAGCAACCAACATGACTTGGGGTTTTTAATGCATGCAACTTGGGTGGATAAAAGGACCATTTGCTGAATCAAATGATGAATTTGAAGAGAGGAACAGGTTGGGCGTGAACAAAGAGAATAGAAGCTAAGTATTTCTCATTGCCCTTGAATTTGCTCCAGGAGGTAAGAGGGGCGCGGGAGCGCTGGGCTGGGAAGTGGCACAGTCGGAGTTGCAATGCAGGAAACTGATCTGGCTGCGGTACACTAAGTCAGTTGGAAATGGAGAGATGGAGTTGGTGGTTGCAGGGTGTTGAGTAGGGTGGTGAGGGCCTATCAGAGGGTAGAGATGGAGAACACAGCTGAGCTGAGGGACAGACAGCGGGAGGGTAGCAGTTCTGGTCAGCAGGATTTACAAAGCCCAGTGCTGATTCTATGGGGCCACATCCATAGAGAAGACAAGTCTTCCATCCCTAAGGAATGTGTAGTTTCATAGAAGAAACGGTCACACGCTCAAGGAACAATTTTCTTTTGCACTATTCTTCACATTTTGCACAATTCCATCAAGCCCACCATCACAGCCGAGTGCCATGCGTTCCAGTGTAGTTGTGGCAGGGATGGTCATCCCCACTTAAACACTAAGGTTCAGAGAGTTCCACGTGGCCTGTTACTCAGTGGGTACATGAGGAAGCCAGAACTCAGGCCCATGGTCTGATTCTGAATCAGGTGCTCTGGCTACACAGCACTGTAGATGTCCAAAGAGCATCCATCTGGCTCCAGGGGCTGGGTGAGGCCAGTGGAAGAGTCAGGACATCAGCTTTCCCAAAGGGTAAACAGGACCTAAACGGACAGAGAAGCAGGAGACGGCATCGTAGACACAGGCAGAGTGTAGATGGGAACTGGGTCCTAGGAAAGCAGGCAGTCAAGGAACAGGTGCAGGAAGCATGGCTGGTGGGAGGGGATGACGGGACCTTCTGTTCTTGCCACAGGTGGGAAGCACCGTGCTCTTCCGTTGTCAGAAGGGTTACCTGCTTCAGGGCTCCACCACCAGGACCTGCCTGCCCAACCTGACCTGGAGCGGAACCCCACCTGACTGTGTCCGTGAGTGCTGGCTTCACCTGCAGCCCCAGGGAACTCCTTTGGGCACCACGCTGTCTCCCAGCAGGCAGCTGGAGCATGCCTGAGTGCTGTCAGGGACCTCACCCCTGTCCTTTGGCCTCACAGAAGACATGTCTACATAAAAAACCTTTCTGATACTTGAAGATAAGCCCTGTCTTAGAAAAACTTCCCAGTGGCAGCAAAAACTAACAAGGCCAGGCCTCAGATGGAGATATCAGATTTTGAACCATAATTACGCCTTCTTCCCTGGGCAGAAGTGCTGCAGGCCTAGGTTCCCCAAGGCTGACCGAGCCAGGAGTCACATGATCTCCATCTTGGCCACTTCTGTAGCCGTGGAGCTCGGGGCTGGGCCAGGCGGTTAGGGAGGAGGATGCTGGGCACGAACGGGCCTCGAAGGGAGAATGGTTTAAAGGCGCCCTGAAGACGCCAGTCTCCTCAGATCCAACAAAGCCTTTCCTCTCATCCAGCCCACCACTGCAAGCAGCCAGAGACGCCCACCCATGCCAACGTCGGGGCCCTGGACTTGCCCTCCATGGGCTACACGCTCATCTACTCCTGCCAGGAGGGCTTCTCCCTCAAGGGTGGCTCCGAGCACCGCACCTGCAAAGCAGATGGCAGCTGGACGGGCAAGCCACCCATCTGCCTGGGTGAGTGTGCCCATTGGCAAACCCCTCCAGGGTGGGAGGCCAGCAGTGACGGCTGAGCTGGGGCCAGAATGGGGCAAAGGAACAGAAGAATATGATTCCCAGGGGCAGGACCCTGCTGCTATCCCTTTGAGGCTTTGAGTCTAGAGCAGTCCAAAGAGGCACATATTGAACCCATCCCAAATTTTATTTTGCTACCTTTTACCTGAGCTTAAACATCTTTTACACGGGTCTAAATTTAATCATCAGACAAAGAAAAACTCTTCCACCAAACCGGAGTAACACATTATGCATATTTTAATCTTGATAAACAGCACCCACACAGAGATCCCTCCAAGTTGCCCCAGACCTCTGTCCCCCATTTCTTCATTCTCTATTTATAAAATATATATTAAAAAAACACATTTATGTATAAGACATATGTGTGTGTGTGTGTGTATCAGGTTGTTGGAAAAGTCATGATGTATTCTTGCATAGAAAAACCAAAAAATACATCATGACTCTCCTGACAGTCTAATATATGTGTGCACACATATATGTTATGTAAAATTACATTTTCTTTTTAATTTTTTTAAATTTATTTATTTTTAAATTTTTCCACAAACATTTACTTTACATATCAAAAAAATTTAGCTCATACTCCATAGTTCTTGACAGTTAATAAACAACTTTCAAAATTTTAAAATACTGAATTTTAAAGATAATTTTCAAAATATTTCTTACAATTTTGTATAATTTTGTTTGTGACTATAACAACAGAGACAGTATGGCTTTAAATATTTTTGAGAAAATATTTACATGTCAACTACTCAAATTGTTGAAAAGCAAAAGCCCACCACACTAGTCACACATCAACCTTCTCAATTCAGCCCTGCCTACCGAGAACTCTGTGATAGACCACCTGCTAGCAAAGATCAGTCTCTTTTTCTTCCTTCAAAGTCTTTCTCAAGATAATTTTCTGGTGTGGTTGCTCCCTTGCAATCTCTACTGATTACAATGCTGGCTAGAAAAGTCCAGGTTATTTTATGTTACAAATGCTTTCATATATCTCCTCTAATCCTCTCTGCCAGGCAGAACTATTTATGGCACCAGGCCATTTTTCTAAGAGTTTCTGTTGGCTTACTTGAGATTCACCTTAGTTCCATAGTTTTCTGATTAATCTTCAGATATGACCTTTCAGTCAAAGCCCTGTCCAATAATGAGTATTTCCAATTTTGGATTCAATGGAACAAGCATTACTGAACTTATGCAGATAACCCTTTGGCACAGAGTAAGAATACTCCCAAATATTTTCGAATTCCAGAGGGGTCAGAAAGAAAGAAAAGAAACAAACAAGAAAAATATTTAACAAATTGCTGAACCTATCAACAACTCAAAAGAAAATAAAATACTTAAATAGGGAAAACAAAGCATAGTTTAAAAAAAAATTAGTAATGTTTCACTCAAAAGTCATAAAATTCTCTTTCACCAGTTCGTTCTTGTGTTCAAACTTTCTTCTCTTTCTTCTATTGAATACGCAGTGTTTCTGTGGCTCAGTCTTTCCATTTGAATCCTGGAAGTTAACATTCAACATTATTATTGATATTTCTTGTCCATAGCATTACATTGGTCATTTTTTGGTTGCCTTTTGTTCTCTTATTTCTGTATGTGTCTTTAATTTTCCTGGTAGAGCACTCCTTTCAGAACTTCTTGAAGAGTGGATATGCTATTGGCAAATTCTTTCAGGTCTTGTTTATCTGAGAATGTTTTTATCCTTTCTTTCCATATGAAAGATAATCTTGCTGGGTATAGTATTCGTGGTTGAAATTGTTTTTCACTTAACACTTTGAATATATTTTCCCATTCTTTCCTTGCTCGCATTGTTTCTGATGAGAGGTCTGAGGCTAGCCTGATTGGATAACCTTTATACGTAACCTGACGTTTCTCTCTTGCCAATTTTAGTATCTTGTCTTTGTCTGTAGATTTG